CGCGGCATGATGACGCCGACGCGTGTGTCCATGGGTGGTTCCGACAGCGTGGGCTACTGCCAATCGTGCGTTGAACTCATTTTCAAAGAAGTGTTGTATCGTGGGATCCACGCCTGGCTAGATGACATTCTGGGTTACGCTTCTACGGAAGATGCGCTTCTCGACATTTCGGACCGCGCGCTCCAGACATGCGCGTCCTCGGGCCTCAAGCTACACCCCAACAAGTGTTCGTTTTTTCTCACGCGTGCGAAGTGGTGCGGTAAAATCATCTCGGCCGATGGAATCAGCCATTGCCCAGAGCGTGTCAAGGGCCTGGTCGATCTTAGCACGCCTACAACGGCGGCGCAGTTGCAGAAGTTCCTCTGCTGCGCAAACTGGATGCGCTCAAGCGTTCCCCAATTCTCTGGGCTCGTAGCGCCGCTCACGCAACTCCTCGCTGTCGCCTCTAAGTCAGTCTCCAGCCGCCAACAATGAAAACTCGACAAGGTCTTGTTGTCGAATTTTGCCTGGTTTCACGAACATGATGCGTGTTTCCGTGCAGTTAAGGATGCTCTTATCTCCATAGTCCCGCTCTCGCACCCTGATGATGAGTCTCTGGTCTACCAATTTGCTGATGCGTCCCTCGATTTTTGGGGCTCGGTAGTCACCCAGGTTCCACTCGAGGACAGGCAGTTGCCACTCGCCAAACAGCGTCATCGCCCGCTGGCGTTCCTTAGTGGTTGTTTTAAGGGTGCCGCGAGTCGATGGCCCATCCCCGACAAGGAGGCTTTCGCGATTGTGGAGAGTTGCAAGCGTTTGGAGTACTTGCTGCTGCGCCCTCGTGGTTTTGTGATTTGTACTGATCATCGCAATCTCGTCTAAATCTTTGACCCACTTACAACCGACGGCGCCATGCAGCGCCATCAAGCCGATCGCCTTCAAAATTGGGCTATGGTCATGATTAGCTATAACTACTCGATCCTTCACATCCCCGGTGAGTCCAATGTGTGGGCTGATATGCTTAGTCGTTGGGGTATCGTATCACCTGTCGTCTCCACCAGCTCTGTTGGCGTACTTGCACTGGCCCTGTGTCTCCACTGCAGACTGCTGATTTTGTTTGGCCCACGCTCGATGAGATTGCTAACATTCAGCGCGATCACTTGCCACCGCCGGCCGGCGTGACAATGATCGATTCTCGGGCCGTTTATTGTTCAGGCTATGGCCTTGTGTGGATTCCAGATGAAGCGCGATCGCTCCAAGCTCGCCTCCGCGTGATTGCTCATGTCCACTTCTCTGGCCATCGTGGTGTGGACGCTACGCTATTGTCACTCTCTGAATGGTGCGTGTGGGGTATTAAGGGTGCCGATGTCGCGGCGTTCGTTCAGTCCTGCTTGCACTGTATCTGTGTGTCGGGTCGCATGTTGCCACGTCCACTTGGTGAGGCCCTCCATGCACAAGCCCAACGAGCTTGCTCCACGCCGATTTTTTAACCCTGCCCAAGGATAGACTCACCAGCTGGCAATACGTCCTGGCTCTCAATGACGATGCCTCTGGCTTCTGTATGCTTATTGGATTCAAGACCGCTACAGCCGATGCCTTTTGCCACGGGTTTGGTGCGCTCGTTCAGTATGTTCGGCGTTGTGCCCACTTGGGTAACTGATCGTGACTCACATTTTCGCAACAGTGTGATTGAGTGTATT